AATTCTTAATAGAATATATTTAAAATAAAGAATAGGCTCCTCCATCGCCTATTCTCGTGAGAATGCAACCATATTTTCTTCGTCTCTTCGATTTTAACACGAACTTCAATATTTACTTCGATGTATAAATATACTTTTTTGTTGTTTGCGAGGAAGAGAAAAATCTTCACGTAGTCCCTCATAAAATTATATTGAAAGTTTTAATTATACTAGTTTTCCACATTACCCTAGAGGTACTAATATAGATGCGTTTTTTTTAAGTGGTTTCCTCAATAGGCCTATTCTACTAAGGCGTCGTCTACAATACACGGAGTAAAAAGTACTGTTACTTCTTACACCGTGTATTGTAGACAAGGCTTAAGACAGCCTTCATACAGTGCCAGAGCAGCCGATGTTTTATTTCGGCGCTTCCGGCAGCCCTTGTGCTACAACAGTCGAAATAGTAATGCAGCGTCATAGGCATTCCACACAAACCTGCATACTCATATAAACATATTTGCATAAAGAAAATCATCCAATCATAGTTTACATTTGTCTGTATGACAGAAATGTGATTGAATAATTTTCTTTATGCATATGGTTATGCGGCTCTGCAAGTTTGTGTGAAATGGCCCCTAATGGCAACATTAATACTGCGACAGAGCAACCGACGCTTTATTTCGGCGCGCTTACAGCAGCCCTTACCCCGGATCTACAATAAATGTTTTAAGCCGTAAGTCGTAAGAAATTGACCAATTACAGTCGAATCCGAGTAGAATAAGCGACTGTCAGTCGCTCATTTCTTATGGCTTAAGGCTTAAAATCCTATTGCAGATCCAGACTTATACAGCGCCAAAGCAAACGATTAATTGTTACAATATTCTGAAAAATTTATTTCGGTTCACGTAAACGTACTCAAAGAATTCCGTTATATTCTAAGAATTCCGTTATGTTCTTGGAGCAGATTAATTAATCCTTACTTAATCTGCTCCAAGAACAACATATATGCTCCTCTGGGCCATTTCTTCTTGATAACTTGTAAATCAGTACAGTAACACCATTCCGATTGTTTGTCTGTTCTCAACATACACGTATAGTGACCACGATTCATTTCTTCGCCCTCGTGAAATATAGCACTTATTACCTTGTATTTTCTTTTATTAATCGTGACATTACTCGTCGGTACGGCGTTAATTCGATGGTCGATAAGTTTTTTAGAAACACCGTTTATAAAAGTATGTAAATTGAGCTGTATTACTAATTGTAAGACGGATGAAGTCGATTCAATTGCGGTTTTCTTTTTCAGAACGATACTGTTACATTCGTCACAATTACCATTTATCGTTTCCCATTTTGAGAATTCTGAATCAATCAAAGTTTGCAGAGTGACACCTTTTTTCCTTTTCAATGTGGACTGCATAGGTAATATTAGCAAA